GGGAGATGGTATCTCATGGCCTCATTCGACAGTGATGCTAATCCTACTGAGAAGGCACAGGGAGAACTGCTTTTCCCTGATGAGGAAACAGAGGCCCAGAGACACACAGAGAAGCCCCCAAGTCCCACAGGTGATTAGCCGCAGAGGAACAGAGCATCCAGACTTCTCCCGACCCGTCTCTGGTGAGCAGAAACGGGTCCCAAGCCTGACTCCTCAGCTCGGCCATAAATCAGAATTGCTTCAAAATTGCTTCAGGTGTTTAAAAATAAATACTAGGTTCACGGGTTCTGGCCTAAACCTGCCGAATCGGAAAGGCAGGGCCCCCTGGAAGCTCTCGTGCAGCCAGTGGACCCGTGTTTGGGAGCCCTGGCCCCACACACAGGGTCAGCCAGTCCGGGGCCCAGGCTAGGAACTGAGGGTGGGGCGCACACCTCTGGCAGCCTGAGCGAGCCTGAGCTTTCGAGTGACGGCATCCAGGTTCTCTGCATGGGGGTCTCCCAGGCGTGGGACGGGCCCCGCACCCCACCTTCCCTCTGCACAGAGGTGCCCTGATTTCACCTGTCCTCAGCCCACGAGGCTGTGGGGCTCTCGGGAGACTGCCCTCCCTTCCCCGTGCGGCCGCTGACGTGAGCCCCGCCCTGGCGTGCTGCCAGCCTCCCCAGCCTGTGAAGTGGGGCAGATGCAGAGAGTCTGCCAGGGCGGGTGAGCAGGCAGCTGGGCACCGAGCCAAGGAAAGGCCCTGCCAGAGTCCAGAGGGGAAACAGAGCAGGAGAGAGCTGGTCAATACGGGCTTTCTCTTCCCAAGCTCGAGGCTGTCTGCCCGGCCCGAATTGCAGTGCCCGGAGTCAGGAAATGGTGCGTGTTCGGCTGACGTGATTTCTGGCTGGGCTCCAGCAGCTGAACCCAGTTCCCTACCACCACCCACCAGGCACCGGTGGCCCAGGTCAAGAATTCAGTCACAGAGCCAGAATCAGGGGTGGGGGTGTGGGAAGGCGACGGGGAGGCTGCAGACTGCGGGCACCTGGGACAGAGGCCAGAGGGCAGCCCCAGCTCTCCCCTTCCCACCCCTACTCCCCGTCATCTTCCAGCCTGCATTACAGTGGTCTGTGCGACTGTGTAAGTGGCTTCAGACACATTCTCAAATGTGTCCAACCCTCCAGCGGGACAGTCCCACAGCAGAGCCCTGTGGGCCACGTCGGGGGCAGGGGCCTTCCTTGTGACGTGCTTTCACCTTCCATCCTCATTGTGCGCCTCTCCTGACCCCATTCCAACCAGGCGGCCAGGCCTTTGTTGTTCCCCTCTCTTGGGGACATCTGGGTCACTGGGCTGAAAGCAGAAGTTGCCTGAACACAACCCCACCTTCCTGTTTTCTAAATGCAGTGAGGGCCTCCAGCAAGGGCTTGGAGGGAGAGAGGCAGGTGCAGGTGACTCTGGGGAAGGGACCTGCATGGCTGGAAGGAGGCAGGAGCTTAGTGTGAGTCATGAGGATGCACTGGGAACCTCAGAAAGTTTAAAACCTGACAGAGTCCCCACACCCAAGGGTGCCCTGGGAGCCGCGGTGGCGCACAGAGCACTGTCCAAGCAACAGACAAGTCGCGACGGGAAATGGGGAGGGGGCCACAAAGAGGCCCGCCCCAGTGGTGAGCTTCACCTGAGATTCCTGACAC